AATAATAATAATAATAATAATAATAATACTTAATTACAAAGAAGACATAGGTAATTACACTGAATTTTCTTAAATATATTTATAACATATCTACATTCAAGAAACTAATTTATTTTTAAATTTGCTCAAGCTTTGAGGAAAGGGATCAAAGATAGTCACAGGCAAACTGTTCCAGTCCCTAATAGTGCGATTCACGAATGAATATTTCCCAACGTCTGTTTTCTGAATTCTTGTCTGAATTTTGTGCATGTGATCGGCTCTGCCGAAATATGTAGGTTTCCCTAATCGACTTAGAATTTCTTTCCATGCTCGAAGGCCTGTGTACGCTTTATACATTGCATAGAGACGTGACTTTAATCTTCTCCTTTCGAGTGACTCCCATACCCCTTTATTCTTGGTACTCCTGAAAGTAAATTTTGATGCTCTACTCTGGACCTTTTCTAGATTTCTTTGTTGCAAAATTCTGTATGGGTCCCAACATACCGCGCCATATTCTAATATAGGTCGCACTAATGACATATATGCTAGTTCTTTGGCACTCACTGTACTCTTTTTCAGTATTCGCATAACAAAATGTAAAGATTTCCAGGCTTTCCCTACAACGAAATTGACTTGATTTTCCTAGCTCAATGTACTGTCTAGCTTTTATTCCTAAGTATTTGCAAGACGTGACTCAAGGTATTACATTATTGTTCTGTTTGTACGCAGATTCATTGTAACTTCGACCCCTACCAAACGTAATGGACTTGCTTTTTGAAGTGTTTATTTCCATGCCTTTTGTTTCAGCCCAGATATGTAATTTGTCTAAGTCTCGCTGCAAAATATCCTCGTCTTTCTCCGAATTGATAATCCTATAGATTATGCAGTCATCTGCAAAGAGTCGTACATTTGAAGCTAAATTAGTCTGCAATTCATTCACAAAGGCCAGAAACAGTACTTAGGATACTGTTGAAGAGACCAGTGATAAATTCTGTTCCTTTGCAAGGCAGTTCTTTTAGTAATCACCTGGTGATGAATTCATAACCGGGAGCTTCCTTGCTAGGTAATTCCTTTCTTAAAATTTGTAATACTTCTTTGTAAGTAAAATCTTTCATTGGTAATCCCATTTGTGTAAGTGATTCTAAGTATTCTTGTATTTCGTTCGGTTGATTTAAAGTTTTTGGTGGATGGTTTTGATAAACTTCAGTTAAGTGTTTTGCAAATACTTCTATTTTTTCTTTGGTACTTCTCGCCTATTCGTTGGTTTCCCTACGAATTGGAGGGAAGGTTTACTAGGTCGTTTGTATTTTCTTACGGCTTTAAATAAAGAATGTTCAGAGGCTTGAGTTGCAGAGAGATTGTCAACTAATTGTAATTTTAAAACCTACTATTGTTGAAAGTTTTAAGTAAACTGGATAGTTGTCTGGTAGCTCCTTTGTAGTCGGTTCTATCAGCTGAGTATCTTGTCCTGTTACACATTTTTCTTAGTTTTCTTTTTTCCTGAATTTTTTTCAGAATGTAGAAAGGATAATAATTGCATGTTTTACTATACGTTCCTCGTGGAGTGGCGTGCCGCGCTGCGTTTTGTATGCTTTCAGTTATAGTCTCAGTAGTTTCATCGTCATCTTGTGATTGCAAGGGCATTCGAATACTTGTAAAGGTGGAGATCCAGTTATGGTACATATTCCAGTCTGTGTGTTAATTTACTAGTACTAATAGTGCAGGGCTCAAAAGAATTTTATTGCTAACAGTTGTTATGATGGGCAAGTGACCTGATGACAGTTCATGGGAGGCTTCAGTAGACAAGTAACCTGGTAAAATAACTTAAGTTACAAAGACGTTTATTAGAATGGTGTTTTGCGTAATAAATCCTTTTTAGTTCAGTTTGTGCTGCTATTTACCAACTTTTCTTATAATACAAGATTTCCAGAACTTAATGGTTTATTGCACACTATCAATGATGGGACAGGATTAAGAACTGACCATCTCCATTTCTAAGAATTTAAGTTTGAAATAGAATCATTCTCTTTTACATTTGCCTATTTCTGCATTTGCTAAAGCTGGACGGATGCAAGGTTGCATGTGCAATCTAAACACATTTAATGAAATTGTCAGATCATGAATATAAAGCTGTTATGATCATATGACATACAACACATTTTCATTAAATTTTTGATTATTGGCATACTATCAGGTGAGTTGACATATACAAAAACTTTAAAAAGTTAGAAAAATACAATACCTTATCCCAATTTTTTTAACTTCCATTAATGCCAAGTTGTATTGTTTAAGTTTGGGAACCTAACTTCATTAATTAATTAGTGTTTCTGGACGCGTCAACTGCTGATGTTAATCATTCCGCAAGTGTAGTGCATGTTTTTTTATCGCGGGAGATGGCTGTGATCTTACCATGCTTGAGTACTATATCCTGCACCGACCTACCCGGTGGCTTGCGTTGTTTTCCTCATCCGGGTATCTCCTACCAACGGGGCTCTGCTCCAGTAGTAACATCCTCTAAGCTCGCGACTGGTCTTCCGACATACGTGGTAGTAGAGTACATGGAAATGTGTTTATAAGGGGTGAGGATATGGAAAGGGAAGGAAAGCTTGCGCGTGGTCCGTAGCCCGTTTGGTACTGCTCCGGTATTCGCCTGGTGATGAACGGAGATACCAAAACCACCGATCAGTGCTGCCGGCTAGAATTCACCTCCAGACAGCGGCTGAATTCGGCCTTGCTATTTACTTATTGCATACCTCTGTAGGTGAGGGGTTATTTTACTGCCCACTGTATCCCCCAATGCGTGGGTTCGATCCTTCCCAGGGTTGAAAATCCATTGTAGTCATGTCACTCTTGTGGCGTGTAAAAAAAAAAGTATTTTGGCGGATGCCCGACAAAATAAAACCCTTCGGACAATATCCCACCCTAACGAGATCCCATTTTCTCGCAAAACAAGGTTTTCGGATATAGTTTACTGAGACTGACATCGGGCGGAGAAAGTGAGAGTCACACCCCAGGTGTATCGCGCAGGCGCGCGTGCTCGCATGGTCCCCAGAATCGTTTCGGAGGTTGGCGTCCAAGGAATCCTGGGTCGAAAGTAGGCTGGCGCCCAGCTGCTAGGGGGATCAACAAGGATCTATGTATTATTGCTATTTAGCTATTGCCGAAAATCCTGCTACCGTCGGTACTCGAACTATAGAACCTCCCGCTCAGAGGCACTGTAAAGACATGAATTGATGCCCTCAGCCGGTGCTGCTAGCTTAAGTCTAAAGCAGGCAGCACCCTCGATTTCTTGAAATTCCAAAATTTCTAACATGCTGGAAGACGACTCATTGTTAAACTTCAATTTTGCATACTTTTGCTAGTGTTTTGTTTTTTTGGTGTTTCTAGATTTAGATAGCTGTGATCTAAATAATCTGACAATGCGTCACGTCGCAAGGAGATACTACGTAAAACTATTGTATTCCATCATTTTTCACTTAGTTTGAACATTTGATTTGGTAATATAGTATTGTTTAATCGTTAATTGTTCTGATGATTAAGTGTCCTTTTCTAAACGCATGTTGATAATCTGACAATAGTGAATGCTGTTCAAATTTCCTAGTTAGCCTGTTTGCAATATTCTTTTTGCAAATTGTGCATTATATTTTTTAAACATTTTTTTAGAATCAATTTCACTTTAGACAACAATATCTATCTTCGGCGTTTTCCTACAACTACGATATTGAATATTGAGATTTTTACTTTCTCGCTACGGAGTAAAGGTTAACGAAACTGATAACGAAAAAGTGGTTAAATCTATTTAGATTAAGATTTATTTAGTAAACAACTGTTCGAGACGTATGGGAGAGAAGGTTATCTGCGCACGTTTCTTGACTTCCAGAATCCCTTCTCATCATTGTAACTATAAATAATTGAAAGATGTTTGATGTAGTTGAAAGTTTAAAATAAATAAATAAAAATAAATTTTAAAAAATCGCAAGATTAGCAATATTTGAAAATAAATCGTTTGCGAGTTATAGAAAACTTATTTGCAACGGTAAATGAATTGTATGATTTTTCTGCATTGCTAACAAAATAGTAACTCGCCCTAACATCTAATCCTACGATCACAAGCAAAAGTAGAGTTCAAATCCAGTCCATAAATTTATTTTTTAAAAAATCGTCTAATTCGTGATGTAGCGAGAATTGATGTTTTGCGGGTCCTTGATACCGAAAAATTGAATAACGGAAAACGTCCGTCCGTTCGTCCTTTCTCCGTCCGTCCTTTCTCCGTCCGTCCTTTCTCCGTCCGTCCTTTCTCCGTCCGTCCGT